AAACTAGCAACAAAATGTTGGAAGAGAGAAGGCAGATGGAACAGTGGTAACAAAGTTAACAGAGCAGAAAGAAAGTTTGCATTCTAGTAAAAACTAGGAAAGAGCAAGTGATCCCCACTATAAAGCTCTGGAAGACTCAGAAATTGGAAATACTCACAACTTCTTGCTATAGTTTAGATCTTAAATGTCCCCCCAAAGTCTAGGTACTAAAGGCTTGGCCCTCAGCATGGTGCTATTGAGAGGTGGTGGAACTTTTAAGACTGTGGGGCTAGTGGGAGGCTTTAGTCATTGAGGGCAAGACTTTGAAGGGGATAGTGGGACCCTGAGCCCTTCCTCATTCTCTCTTTTTGCTCCTTGGCCATGAGGTGAGCAGATTGCTCTACCATTTGCTCCCACCACAACACTGCATTGCTCAGGCCTAAAAGTAATGGGCCCAACCAATCAGGGATGGAACCTCTGAAACTGTGAACCTAAATAAACTTCTTTTCATTATATATTGATTATCTCAGTCATTTGTTATAGTGACTGAATGCTGACTAACACATTCCTATAGGAAAACATGCAAAGTGGGGCTGATAAAAGAGACTACAGATGGAAAGTCCCTTTGGGTACCTCTCCTTTGTGCACAAACCAGCTCAAGAGTCAGCAGAAGGGTTAATTCTTGGAAATGGAATCGGTCTTCAGACTCAATGATACTAGGTTTGGTAGAGGACTGGAGTAAGGCCAAAAGAATTGAGTCAAGTCTACATGTCATGTACTGATTAGTGAGACCCCCATCTTCCTTCCTTCACTTGGATGTCAGGGCACTGGCAGGCTGATATATTGTACATTCCCCAGACTAGATTGGAAGAATCCCTTCTGACAACACCGAGTGGTTGGAGAAAAGCCTAAAATATTGAAATCTAGAAGACTACCAGTGAAATGACCAGGTGCCTGATTGCTTGCTCTACAGTAAAGTAGCAATTAACAAGCACTGCAAACGCAAAGAGATTTCCATCAATTGTTTTAGTGCCTCATTCTTAAATACAAAAAAAAGTATCACTAGACGTGACAAAAGTCTCTAACATAAAATGTAGAGATGCAAACAAAGGCAACTAGGAGTAAACAAAGACAACTCAATGAAGAGTACCTTTCAAAGAACTTTTTATTTAATGACCTCAGAAATACAAGATAAAATATTGCAACTATGAAATAAGAAGATGCTGTTACATGAAAGAAACGGTCATTTACAGTCTAAGAAAAATAGTTCTTGGAAAATAAAAACAAGATAATAGAAGTAATTGATTCAATAAAAGGGCTGAAAGATAAGTCTTCAAGAAATTGAGCAAAAAGACAGAGAGATGGAAAAAAGGGAAAGTAAGATAAATTAGAGTGTTAGGGAGACTTATCATTTACTTAGTAGGGCTTTAAGAAAAAGAAAGTGTTAAAATAAAAAGAAGAAATTATCAAAGAGATGGTTAAAGAAAAACCACTTCTCCAGAACTGAAGGATATGAATCTACGGATTGAAGGGCTCACAAGTACAATGAATGAGAGGTCCACTCCTGGCTCAGGTCACTCTCCGATGTTGATGCCCTCATGGAGTTTTTGGCAATGTGATGTCTAAGTACACATGTCCTCTAGAATCCTGGCCCTTAGCTTCTTGACCTCCTTTTCTTCACTTATTTAACCAATTCTCACCATTTCTTCCTGATGACTCTCCACTGCTCAGATCTGAGACCATATCTGTACCAGTAACAGTGTTGATATATGCTTAAAAATCTCAACCTCAAGCTTCCGAATTTCTGACCACAACTGCCAGATTTGTTTTCTTTCGTTTATTCTCTCTAGCATCCCAAAATATTTCAGCTCTTCAGGGACCAAAAAAACAGTTAATCTGATTCTACCACCTTCTGATTGTCCCTACATCCTTACCCAGCTGAGATTTCATGGCCCATCATCCTATACACTCTCCTGCATACACTTTCAACTCTCCCCCTGCTTCTTTCATCAAATTTTCTTTATAAAGACACAATTTTGGTTTCCGACAACTCTCCATCCATCATATTTGCATATTCATGAAGCTTAACTGGGCTAGAGGAAAATTCTAGATGGTCTGACTTTGGATTCAGTATCATTCACTTCCAGGGAGCCTTTTGGACTACACAGCAGTCCCATCACAGTTTGGTAGCCGATTCATTGCCCTATTCTAGTTTCTTCTCCCACTAACCTAAATGACTATTTTGTATCTTCTCCTACAATATCTCTTCTCTTGCTCTCACTAATGTCCTCATCTCCTAATTCACTAAGAAAATAAAAACAGTCTGCAAAGCACATCTGCTCGTTCCCACCATTCCTTTGATATACTCTGCTACAGTATACATACATACTATCCATCCTCTGAGCTAAGGATAAGACCTCTCCTTGCAGTTTTGATTTCATCCTCTTGCTTGCAAATTACAGCAATTGTCCCCTCTTCTCTTCTCTTCTCTTCTCTTCTCTCTTCTCTCTTTCATCAATTTTTTTTCTTTCTCTAGGATCATTTCAGAAACAACTGTGCTGTAATGTGTTCTATGAAAACCTCTTCCTTAGATCTCTCCTCCCCAACACTTAAAGTGTTGTTTGTGTTTACTGTCTCTAGTGCCTCTCCTTCACTTCCTCTTGAACTCACTTGAGTGGTGTTTACTCTTGCAGGCAGAGCTAATCACATTTGCCGAGGACCTCCATGTTGCTAGATCTCAGTCCTTACTTCAGTCACCAGTCATTCACTCTTTTCTGTTGGAAACTCTCCTGATTCTCTTTCTACTTCTCTGGCTACTTCTCCTGAGTCTGCCTTGTGGATTCTTCCTGTTCCTGCACATTAATATATTGATATACCTTCAATCCCTGGCCTCAGATTTCTTCTCTTTTCTATTCACTAACTCCTTTGCTAATCTGATGAATTTTATCGTTATTTTTATGCCCATGACTTCAAAAACTTATATATCTAGCTTAGATCTCTCCTCAACTCCAGACATCTAGCTGCCTACTAAAGATCGATCATACAGGTGTCTAATATGTACATCAAAGTGAGGTGTCCCAAACTAAGCTCCTGCCCTTCCTGTAGACTTCTCCATTTCAGCAATCAACACCTTCCTTTCATTTGTTCAGGGAATGATATTAGTGTCATGTTTGATTTATTTCTTTTTTCATCACACATCATCATATGCCTTACATTCATCAACATCTCCTGTTGGCTATATGTTTAAAATTTAACTAAAAACTGAACACTCTTCAAGAATTTTAAAACCTTTAGCCAGAATACCAATAGCTGGATGCAAGTTTCTTATTGCTTGCCTGTCTTACTGCTGTCACCTCCTAACCGGTCTCCCTGGTCCTACCTTTGGTCCATTGAGACTGTAGTCAGTCTATGTAGCACCATTATGGCCCTTTATAATCCATATAAAAGATACACATAATTTATATCCATATAACTCAGATCATGATGTCTCTCAGATGCCTTCATTACGGCTGTAGCTTACTCAGGATAAAAGCCAGACTTTAAGAAAAGTCTACCAACCCCAATGTTACTTGACTACTGACCACCTCCTGCACACACATCCCCTTCTGTGCAGACTTCCTGGGCCCCCGTTGTTTCTCTAGTAGGCCAGTCCCGCTCTTGCCCCCTCCCCTCAGCTTCTTTGCCCAGGATAACCATAATCTTGAATATTCTTCCTGCAGTGTCCCACTTCTTCACTCCTCCCGTGTCATTTCTTACATATCAAGCAACAAGATAAAATAGCAACACCTATAACAACTGTAGTGGAAGATATTCCCAATCTATAATTCTGTACATATATAGAATATTAATCATGTTTGAAGGTAGAAATGACATTTTACAGCATTAAAGGTCTCAACAAATTTCCTTTCCATTTCTTTTCAGGAAGCTCTTGGAGAATGTGTTCCACCAACATGACCTAATAACTCCAAAAGGAGGAAAGTAGGCATCCAACACCAAAGAGAGGGGATGGGAAGTCCCAGGAGGACAGTGCTAGGAAATCCTGGAACAACAGCTGGGCATTCTGCCTGGGAAGAGCCCACTGGGCACTGAGAGGTTGTCCAGTGCATTTCACCATATCATTTTATAGAATTTGGGGGTGATACACGAGAGCTACTTATAAAACCAATGGGGCTACCATATGTTAAGTGAAGTTAATCAGACACAAGCTTGTACATCATATGGTTTCCCTTACATAAAAAATTTAATAGGAATGAGGAGAGAAAAGAGAAAGACAAAAAGAAAAGTAAGTACTATATCCTAAGTATGTTTCTATTGTCAGTCTCTGGTTGAACTCTGATATGGTATGAGAACTCATGTTGTAAGATTTATACTTCTTTGGATATGTTAAGATCTTTACTGTTGTTGTGAGCATGTTCTATTTTGAAAGAAAAAAGTAAATTCTTAGAATAGGAATAGCTACCTAGATTTAGGGGGAGAGATTAGGAGATGGTGACTAGTAGGTAGAGTACTTTGATCTGGGATGGCAAAAGTAACCTAAGTCTGATTGTGGCAGTGGTTATGCAACTCTGTCAATATGCTAGGGTCTATTGAATCTTACATTTTAAGTTTGTAAATTGTGTGGTATGCAGATTTTTGGATTAGTAAGGTTATTTTATCTAAAAAAATAAAACGCTTGAGGGAGGTTTTCTGTAAGAAGCAAAACAATTGGACAAGAAAAGATAAAACACAATCATAATATTCTACATATCTCAGTTGTGAACATCGTCTTCAAGTCATAAGAATGGCTTAAATCAAAATTGTGTTAACTATACGGGGAATCCTCTAAGTGTAAGATTGGGGTACAAAAATAGATTCAGTTTGCAGTGGGGAGAGAGTAGAAAGAGCCTTAATTTCGGATTGGAAAACTAAAAAATTATGTTTAAAAATTAAAATAAAACAATAAAGTCTGGTTATTTAAGAATACGGAGATAAAGTGATAGCTGAAAGTTTTGAAAATGGTTCTCAGGGCTTCGCCACCTCTGTGATGCCACTCGGCGGGGTGCGGGCACCCAGCGCTGAGGGCCACCCCAGGCAGGACTTGCCTCTTCAGCCTGGGCCCTGAAGTTTGATAATGAAGATATCGCCAAAGGTTAGAAACAAAATCACCTAGAGGAAGTGCTGGTAGTATGGCGTGTGGAAGTGCACAAATCTCTAGAGCAGACAGCTTTATTTTAGGGACTATCCAGATTATGCTTGGCATCTTTAATGTTTTAATGTGGTATTTCCTGTTGGTTTTATATATGGGACAAATTAAAGGAGTCTTTGGGAAATACGAACCTTTAACGTACAAAACAGGATGCACACTGTGGGGAGGTTTTTTTAAATCATATCAGGAGCTTGCATAATAAATGCAACAAAGAATCTAACTCGAAGCATGATTGTGTCTTCTTCAGGCCTGGATATCTTATGCATAATTACTGGGTTGATTGCAATAGTTCTGACAGTGGTGGAGTTGTCTAAATTTAAAACTGTGTCATATAAGAATCATGGACAAGCGAAACTGGGGAGGGAAGTTTCGCATGTGTTACTGATCGTCTACCACCTGGAAGTTTCCATTGACCTTACGCATGCGAACTTCATGTGTGGCAGTTTGAGACAAAGACATGGCAGTGTTTCCGTGCCTGCTACAGAGGAGGCTGAAAGTGCTTTGTGAAAACCTTAGAAATGAGAGATTTTTTGCTGATGCTGATACCTGATGTGGGTGCTATGATATTTTGGTATAACAAAGCTGCTGCAAAACCTGAAGATTTTATGCAAAAGAAAATGTAAAACAAGATGAATTTTTCTCAACATTCAAGAAATTTCTATATGCACTTTTCTAGGCTCCAAGGGGAAACCTTTTCCTACCTAAGGTTGTGATTATTACAAGGAAGAATTTGTTATCGAGATAGTATGAATAGCTGTCAACATCCCACAAACTTTTATAAAGCACTCTAAAACACACTTTTTCTCTAGAGTGCAGGCTATAAAGACTTCAAGTGTGATGTTGTGTAACTCACAAGAAAATATTGTTTCCTTATGAGTAAAAATCATATTTCATATTCTAAGTTTGTCAGCGGAACTAGCTTTTCCCTTAACAAAGTATGACAAAGGCCGCCAATTCAGAGTCCCTCATTGTTCCTTGACTTCCACCTCTCCTTATTCAAGTTCCTTTCTGCCCTCCCCGCAAAAGAAAATGGCTCTCTTCAGGATCAGAAATAAAGATGGAGAAGGGAGTTTTTTTTTTAATTAAAGTATTTGTAATAATTGACTATCAGTAAAAACTAAGTTCATTAGTAATGGTTCTCTAGAGGAACAGAATCAATAGAAATATATGTGGAATTATGCAAGGGGATTTATTAGGGTAGACTTACAGAATCAGAGGTGGGAGAATCCAAACTGGCTGTCTGTGGACTGGAGAGCTAAGCTACTAGACACGGAAACCATCGAAGAAGAGTGATCAAGGGTACAGGACCATGCAAGATCGAAGGCCTGGAAGCTCCCTGGAGACTCGCTGGTGTAAGTGCGCATTAAAAGGCTGAAGAAATTAGCAACTGAATTCCAAGGGCAATGGCAGCTCAAGAAGACTGGAACTCTTAAAAAACGGGTAAACTTTCTTCTTTTTCCCCTTTTGATTCCATCAGGGCTACAAGCCTATTGGTTAGTGCCATTACCACCAAAGAGGGTCCTTCCCTCTCTGTTTGTGGACCTACATGTCAGTCATCTCCACAGACACAGCCAGAACTGTCCTTTACAAATCTACTAGGCATTCTTGTTTTGTTTTGTTTTTGGTACCGGGGATCGAACTCGGGACCTTGTGCTTCCGAGGCAGGCGCCAGAACCACTGAGCTAAATCCCCAGCCCTACTAGGCATTCTTAAGGTAGCAGGATTAACAGTCACACTGAATACATGGTTTTCTTTGCTGATATTAAAAAATAAGACATAAAAGAAAAAATATAAAAATAAATTCTCCAAATCACAACAGAAGAGAAAATAAATCATGAATCACTAAATGTAACTGATATGTAAATGATGTAATTACTCATAGAAGTAAAACAGCGGAAATTATCTACAATATGCTATCACCGTGTAGACATCTAGCAACATGGTCTGCTCACGTTTCTCCTTTTTTATCCGAAGAAAATATGTCTTGCTATAGTTTAAATATATCCCTCAAAATTTATTTTTTGGAAATTCAATCCCCAAATTCATATGTCAGGAATATTTGAAGGTGGGATCTCTGGGGGGTAATTAAGATTAGACAAGGTCATGAGGATGGGGCTGTCATCATGATATTAGTGGTCTTATGGGAAGAGGAAGAGAGATACAAACCAGCTGCCTTACCTTGCGGTGCCCTCTGCCCCGTTATGATGCAACAAGAAAGCCCTCACCAAATGCCACACAGATGCTGGTGCCCTGCTGTTGGACTTCTATCTGCTACACCTGTGAACCAAATTTCTATAGCAACAGAAAACAGACTAAGTCACATCCCCTTTGTTTTAAGGAGCTGTTCCTTTGCTTTTGGGTTTATCTGCACAAGTATTGCATTTCATGCATAGAGATACAATTAGATCAGGCCAATCTGAGCCCTCTCATACCAGGTTCTGAATGGAGAAGAGACAAGGGGCTCTGGCAATGCAATCCCAGAGTGGCCAACAGGTATGTCTTCTTCCAAGTGAAGAATATGGCCTGCAGTAGAAGAAAGAGGAGAGAAATGGAAAGTGAACTCTGGGCTGTGGAAAATGTGAGCTGGGCATGCACACTCAGACTCCAGGGAATCAGGGGGGATGACTGTGGAGCCCATGCTCCAAGGGCAAAGGGCTCCTGTGCCCAGTGGATGAATGTGCCCAGGGGAGGCCTCAATCTTAGTACACCTTACATGTTTTAGGAAAAGCAAGATGTTCAAAATCTGTTCTACAATGTATAACTTTCTAAATGTTGATAACAATTTAATAAATGAAGGCATGACATGAGCCAAATATAGCATGTCTAATGGCTGACTCTGGGCAGCATGCCTTCAGTGACAGACACGCTGTAAGCCCCCAAACATGTGACTCTTCATGAGAAGGAGACAGGGAGCAGATGGCTTGTATAGAAGAATAGTGAAGAATTTGGAGAGCAACATGTCGGCCTTGAGTCCTGTTAACGGGTTATTCAAGAGAAATGCGTGCAGAGAAATATTTTAGAAAGATATATTTGGTAGCTGAGTGAAGGATGAGTCAGACATGGGAAAGACTAGAATACTGTTTTATTTAAAGATATGATTTTAAAGGATTGGTACTTTTGTGTGTGTGGGTTTTTTTTAACTGTAAAATGAGGTCAAAGTTAGTTTCATGTAAAACTGTAAGATTTTCCTTCTATGATCCTAAGGCAGGACTGATCTCTTTGTCACCTCCTGAGTGAGTAATGTAGGATCACTTGACAAGCAATTAAGTACCAGATAGAAGGAAAGGCCTGCATTGTATAGGAGTCCTCCCTTATTCTTGAGGGCTATGTTCCAGGACCCTCAGGGGAGGCCCCAAACTGTAGATAGTACCAAACCTTGATATACCATATATAACATGCTTTTTTCCCTTTACATACATAAAGCTTAATTTATAAATTAGGCACAGCAAGAGATTAACAATAGCAAATAATAATAAAGCCTAATAAAAATAACAACCTACTGTTAATAAAAGTTATTTAACACTTATGAATTGTTTATTTTTAGAATTTCCCATTTAATATTTTCAGATTGCTGTTGTCTGGGAGTAACTGAAACCATAGACAGCAAAACCACAGATAAAGAGGAACTACCATACAACTGTTAAGAGTGGAGACTAATGAAATTCTCCATACTGAGGTTTGAATTCAGGGCCTTCACATTGAGCTACACTCTCAACTCCCTTTTATTTTTTATTTTGAGACATGGTCTTGCTAGTTGCCCGGGTTGGTCTCAAACTTGTAATCCTCCCACCTCAGCCTCCCAGAGTACTGGGATTACAGGTGTGTACCACCACACCAGCCTGGGTGTCTGAATATTTCTAAGGTCTCCCTAAATAGAGTGTCCTTTTTCAGCTCTGTCCCCCTCCATTACAAGCTATATGATCCTCTTCCAAGAAAAGCTGTGGCAGCTGTGGAGTTGAGCCATTTGAATCTCCCCTTCAAAGAAAATCTGCCAGGAGTTGAAGTAGCTGACAGCCTCCAGCTGCAATAGCTTTGGAATCTCCTATGGGTTGTGTCATACTGTCCACAGGCAGCTCCCAGCCAATAACTGGACGTGGCAGAGCTGGCCATTTTGCCCAATATGGAATTCTTCTAATAGATGATGTTTACTTCTGGTTCCTCATTGGGCTCAGATTTTCTTAGGTGCTTTGCAGTTTGAGCTTCTTTTTTCCCAGCCCTTCCTTCTTTTCATTTCCTTTCACAAATATCAGAGCTACATCATAAACTTTAGGTTTGTCCTGCCTGCTCTTCCTGTTCCTTGCCCTTTACCTTCCACAGATGTGTTGCCCACTAAATCTTCTGCACTTCTATTCTATCCTGATATCTATTTCCCAGAGGACTGGACTGTTACAGTTGGAACCAGCATTACTCCACAAAGGTGGGTAGACAGGGAGGTTTGGGTCTGGTTACTCACTGGCTAACAAGGAAGAGTCTAAGTTGAATGGAGAGTGGAGCATGGATAATCTTTGGCACAAGGTTGTAGGCTATTTGGTATTTTGCTGTGCCCTGGAAAATCAGCCTTGAAAAGTTATGAGGGGAACAATGCATACAAGGCAATGGTTTCAGAGGGATTTTCCTAAGTTGTTTTATGACTTGCTGAGGAATTATGAAAAACCACTTCTAAATACTATGTATAAAACACAAAAAATCATTTTTAAAAATGGGAAGGATAGTTGAATACATCCTCAAAAAAGAAATACATGTGACAAATAGGCACATAGAAAGATACTCAGTATGATGAATTGCTACACCTCCAGACCTATTATTATGCATATAATGGCTAAAATTAACAGCGCAGATAGCACAAAATCCTGACAAAGATATGTAACAACTGTAACTCTCATAGATTGCTAGTGAGGATGCAAAATGATACTGCTACTTTGTTAAACAGTTTGCCAATTTTTAATAAATTTAAACATACATTATCATATAACCCAACAATTTCACTCCAAGCTCTTTACCCGGGAGAAATGAAAACATAACTTTTCATAAAGACCTGCCTGTGAAAGTTTGTAGCAATTTTATTCATAATCCCTAAAAACTGGAAGAAATCAAATGTCTAATGGGGAATGCATAAGCAAGTTATGAGTTATCCATACAATGGAATACTGTTAACAATAAAAAAGAATGAACTACTGATATATGCAACAATATGAATGAATTGTGAATGCATTAAAGAGAAAAAGTCCAGATGAAAAAGACCTTATTTATGATTCCATTTATTTGATACTTTTTAAAAGTCGCAGAGACGGAAATCAGATTGGTCATTACCCAGGGTTCCAGGGGGAGGGAAAGATTGATTATCAAGAGACATCACGAAGGAATTTTTCAGGGTGAGGGTTATGTTCTACATATCAATTGTTGTGGTTGTTACCCTAATGTATATAATCAAAATATATATATTATCAAACTGATCAAACTGTACATATAAATTTTGCTAAGAATAAATTTTACCTCAATGAATCTCA